TTCTGGAGTGCAGTCTCAGGATTCTATTTGAATGCAGCTTCAGTGAAAAAATGTTGAACTGCCAGAACATGAGCAGTTGTTGAGGTAATTGATAATGATGAGGGGGTTTCAAAACTAGATCTTTGATTGTGATGAATTCAAATCCCTTGTAAATGAGACATTTTAATTGGATTTGGTGTCAGCAGTGTCATTAATATATGTGAGAAGAAAGGTTTTACCTATATTAACCTCATGTTAATCCGTAATGTTTAGAGTATAAAGCACATTGTTCTGCTTTTCTAAATCTCGGCAGTTTGTTCAAACCTGGGGAATCATGTGGCTTTATTCTCTTAGGAAGTGTCTAGGATCTCAACCTTTGTCTACGTTAAGCAATAACAAAAGCTATTGGTATCTAGCCAGGCCAAAACACATACTTGATTGTCTCATCAGGGATCATAACAATGGCCTCAGCAAACATACAACTATATGTTCTGTTGTACTTGGACACAGTCCGAAGTTGTATCCTAATATAAGAGTAAAATCGGTTTTCCCCAAGGGCAGAGCATTCTCAGAGCAATCAGGAGCCTCACTATCACATGACCAGCCTTGATGTTGGTGCCAGGAACATCAGGCCTGGAAACTGGGCTGTGTGATTCTTTGGGAATTCAAAGCATTCTCACCATTCAAATATTCACCTTTCCTGCAGTGTTGAAAGTGAACAGTCAGGGACTGGGAATTGCCTTATTCTATTTTTAGGTAATTTTGGCATTAAATCTAATACTACAGAGCAGTTACGTAAAATCCAGTATTGTTCCTATCAAATATAAATTAGGCTATTTCTTATCAGAAAGCCTTAGAGCTGGAATAATGAGCAGAATAGCAATTCTTTTGTGGTGGTAGTAACTGAGGGAAACTGTTAACAGAAGTACAAATGTCTGACTAAAGAGCTTATATTTGTTGGATTTGAGGGAAGGGAGATGGTGGCCATGGCAAGAAGGAACAGGCTATGAGATAGAGGAATTTTCTGCGGAAATGAGCATCAAAGGTGAACATAAGAGTGTAATGGAATAAATGGATAAATTGTAGAAATGTGGTTTGGGCCTAGATAGTTGAAAGATTTAAAGTGCCGGTAAAAATGACTTGAAAGAATGCCAAGGGCAGATACAGAAGGAAATGCTTTGTAATTGTTTGTGAGTGGGAAGGGATGGAAGTTGTCAGACATGGATTTTTCAGTGATCAAGGTGAAGGGGATAAATTAGTCTTGTTTGAATGAAAGGCCAAGAAGTTAGTTGTGAATATGGGTGGTGAGGTTTATATGCAGAACAGAATGAACTCAGAGGACAGGTGATCAGTTAAAATTACTTCAAAGGCTAAGTGCAGAGTGATCAACTGTCCTGCATATTTCCACATCAGTCTGTGGGAGACGGAACCTGAGAGTACCTTCTTACCTTTGGCTCTTTGTTTGTGTGTGTGACAAATCGCACTATGATCATCCACATACCACCAGCGGGAATTGAAGTGTTTTACGTGGCATTGCCAAACAGGCAGATGTGACTAGCCAGAAGATTAGTTTTGGTTGCTTAAATCCCGTGCTCAGAAATACCAGTTCCCAAAGCTATTACATGAGAGTTATGACCAAAAGATCAGAAGAAATAGGAACAAGAGTAGGCTGTTCAGCCACATGAGCCTGCTCCACCATTCAACAGGATCATGGCTGATCCAACATTCCTCATGTCCATTTTCCTGCCCTTTGCCCAACCGATCAAGAATCTGTCTCAGCCTTAACTATACACAAGTCTGCTCCCTGTAGTAAGGAGTTTCAAAGATTCACAATCTTCCGAAAGAAGAAATTCCTCCTCATCTCAGTCTTAAATTGGCACTCATTTATTTTGAGACTACACCCTTTGGTCCTAGACTGTCCCGTAAGAGGAAACATCCTCTCAGCATTTACCCTGTCAAGCCATCAAGAATTCTACATGTCTCAATGAGATCAACCTTTCAGTCTTAGAGTCATCGAGTCATATAGCATGGAAACAGACCCTTTGGTGCAACCAGCCCATGCCGAACATAATCCCAAATTAAACTAGTCCCATCTGCCTACTCCTGGCCCATAGCCCTCCAAACCTTTCCTATTCATGTACCTACCCAAATCCAATTAGGTACAATCCAAATCATGTACCTATCCAATTTAACCTGTCCAGTTAAATAATATCCTTTCTATAACTGGGAGTCCAGAACTGGACACAGTATTCCAGAAGAGGCCTCACCAATGTCCTGTACGACCTCAACATAACTTCCCAAGTCCTATATTCAAAAGAATGAATAACGAAGGCAATTTTTCTGAAGAAGGGTCCAGACCCAAAACATCAGCTTTCCTGCTCCTCTGATGCGCCTGGCCTGTTGTGTTCATCCAGCTCCACACCTTGTAATCTCAGACTCCAGCATCGGCAGTTCCTATTATCTCCCAGTAATGAAGGTAAGTGTGCCAAACGTCTTTTTAACCAGGAACAAAAACAAAGTTGCTGGAAAAACTCAGCAAGTCTGGCAGCATCTGCGAGGGGAAAAACAGAGTTAACGTTTCGGGTCCGGTGACCCTTCCTCAGAACTCCTCAGAACAGACTTCCTCAGAACTCAGAATCAGTTCTGAGGAAGGGTCACCAGACCTAAAACATTAACTTCACAGATGCTGCCAGACCTGCTGAGCTTTTCCAGCAACTTTGTTTTTGTTCCTGATTTACAGCATCCGCAGTTCTTTTAGTTTTTATTTCGCCTTTTTAATCACCCGGTTTACATGTGACACAAACTTCAAAGAATTATGTACCTGCACCCCTAGATCCGTCTGTTCCACAACCTTACCCAAGGCTCTACAATGCATTGTATAAACCCTACCCTTGTTTGTTGTACCAAAATGCAATACCTTGCATTTATACAGATTGAAATCTATCTGCCATTTTTCAGCCCTTTGACCCATTTGATCATGATCCCTTTGTAATCTTAGAAAACCTTTCTCATCATCTACTGTGCCACCAATTTTTGTGTCATCCACAAACTTGCTAACTATGCCTTCTATATTCTCATTCATTAGCAGCTATTTGTTCTTCTAGGCTGACCATTATCCATTTCTTTACCTGTCCACCTGTTCTCCTCTCTCTATCTCCACATATCATTTACTCCTTACCCCTCCCCCACCTGTCTTCTGCATTAAAGCCTTTGCCTAGCTGCCATCAGTACTGAAGAAGGGTCACTGGACCCAAAATATTTTCTAATTTCTCTCCACTGCTGTCGCCAGGCCTGCAGAGTTTTTCCAGCAATTTGTGTTTTGTTTTGATTTCTAGCATCCGCAGCTTTGTTTGGTTTTTCTCTCTGTAAGCTGTATCCTTCTCACAAGCTGCCTTTCCACCTATTTTAAGTCATCTACAAATTTGGCTACAGTACATTCACTTCTTTAATCCAAGTCATGAAAGCATGTTGTAAACAGTTGCAGTCCCAGCATGATCCCTGTGGAATCCCACTGGCTGTAGTTTGCCAACCTGGAAAAGAACCCCTTATTCCCACTCGCTGCTTCCTATCCATTAGCCAATTTTTTGTCCATGCCAATATACTACCTTGATACTAATAGATTCTGATGCTAGGCTAATTCGCCTATGGTTACCTGATTTGTCTCCTTCCCTTTTTGAATAGGGTTCAGCAGTTTTCCAATCCTCTGGTGCTTCTCTAGGATCCAATGATTTTTAGAAAATTACAACCAATGCCTCCACTATTTCCGTAGCTACCTCTTTTAGGATCCCAGGATGGAAGCCATCAGGGCCAGGGATATATCTACCTAAGCATCATTAATTTGTCTAATACCATCTCTTTAGTGATGGTGATGGTACTTGATTATTCTTTAGTATTAATGGAATGCTTGAAGTATCTTCCACTGTAAAGGCTGATGCAAAATATCTGTTTAACCCTCTGCTATTTCCTTGTTACCCAAAACTATCTCCCCAGATTCATTTTCTAAAGGGCTTATGTTCACTTTGACCTCTCTTTTCCGTTTTATATATTTAAATAAGCTGTTATTGTCAATTTTTATATTCCTAGCTAGTTTGCCCTCATAGTTTATTTTCACTGTCTTTATTATATTTTTAGTCCTCCTTTGCTGGATTCTGAATTTATCCCAATCTTTGGGGCTATCACTGACAACATTGGCTGGCAGCAAAGCAGTGAGCACATCTCAGTGGAAAACATGGTGTGAGGGCTAAGGCAGGCACGAAAACAGGGAGATTTTAATTGAAAAAGTTGCAATAACTGAGGTTCTCAAAGAAAGAGAAGCTGCCAGAACAGGCAAGCAGACAAAGATGTGTTCTGGTGATAATGGTATGGAGGTATGTGGTAAGTTTGAAGACACTTTGCGGAATTTCTTGCCTTATGTGACATACCACACTTAAAAGCAGAACATTACGGATGCTGGAAATCTGCAAAGTGTTGTAAAAATTCATGGAAATACTCATCAGGTCAAGCATCTTTCGTCCTCTAAAATGTTGCCAGACCTACTGAGTTGTTGCACGCTTCGGATGATATTCAGTCGTAGAGGTCAGTATTTTGTTTCATGTTGTCTGGAAAGTAAGTAGTTGTGCAAGTGGTTTAACACGTCTTTGCCTGCCAAGTCTTATTGATTTGATCTTGACTCAGTCGAGGCATTTCACTCTTGAAAATAAACATTGGCTTATTTCTACAAGTTCAAATAGATAAGCAGTAAATTCCAAAAAAAAACTCACTATGCATAATCGTCATGTTTGTTTGAACGGAATTGAACACATCACGATAAATGTAAATGTTAAATACATTAAAACGATGACTATGTAGTGGCTGTTATTCCGAAAATATTTTTACTGAGCTTTATCCCAGATTACGAATAAATACTTCCAAGTCACTAACTCCTGTTACTCAATGGACAAAATCGATAATCCCGAATATGGATGGTTGCTTTAAGAAAAAATGCAGCAAATATTCAACATGACCCCGGAAGGAGTTTAAGATTGTCAGCACGTGGGAAGTAAATCTATCTTTTTCCAGCGATTGGAACGTTACCCCGGGATTGGAATGTCACCCCGGGAATGGAACGTTGTCCTGGGATTGGAACGTTGCCCGGATGGGGAGCAGAATCCTGAGCGTGCCCAGGCAAGAGGGTAAATGATGTGGAGGAGATTGTGCTAAACATTTGGTCACTACCGAGGAAAATCTTTCGGTGTTAAAGCAGGTTAACCAGAGGAGGGGATAAGGGATCAGAAGGTGCGTGGAGACCTTCATTGGGAGTTTTTGAAAAAAAAACTTGGTATTTGTTTAGCTTTTGGAAACTTTGTGATTTTCATGCTTTCATTTTTTTTTGAAAAACTAAAACCGAAATAGCGAAGAAATAATGGATGGTATTCAGTATTGGTAGAGTTCAGTATTTCATGTTGTCTGGAAAGTAGTTAGTTGTAGAAGGGGTTTAATATGTTTTTTTGCGTATTAATACCATCACTAAAAGGCCATTAGATGCAAACACAACAGGAAATTGCATTTGTTTATACTCCATCACCTTCTAGTCTTTCTTCACTTCTAATTTATTCATCCCTGTATTTCTTCATATATTTATCTCACCTCCACTAATTGCATCATTGCCAGCCATCTCTGATACTAAGTGAGTCTTGTGGAGTACTGGTTGCTTGTAGGCTAGAAGGTCTGTCTCTCCTGTGAAGGTACTTGAAGCCAAATAAAGCTGATTGTGTTATCCTGCCAGTTGCTGTAAGCTGTTGCATTACAGCAATAAGTCAGAGATTTTATAATTGCGAACCAGTCACTCTGTGTCTCCTGCAAAGTAGAAGAACCTGAAGGAAAAATTCAGAGAACTAAAGGACTTTGGAAACAAAGTTAACACTGCATCAAATCCTGGGGACTGATGCTTTGAACTGATTCCCAAGTTTTCTTCATTCCACTGATGATACTTTTTTGTTTCGTATGTGTGTTGGTGCTTTTAGAAGGGAATTAAAAGTTTAGATAGTAGAGCTAGCCAGTAGTTCATATTTGTTTATCTGTTGCTGGAATCAATCCATTTGTGATATATCGTATTTCTTGTTAAGTGGAGAAACCTACTCCATGTTTTCTGTTAATCTGAGACTGCAAGACAGATAAATTTGGGACTTTAGTAAAACTTCTAACTTTTATGATTACTCTTGGAACAGTGGGGCTTGATATCCAGGAGCTTTACCCAGTGAGGTTTTACAGTTGTCTCCTATAGGTGTTTGCTGTTCTTTCCCTTTTCCAGTTCACTTTTTAGAATGCTGTACTGTCTGAATTTTTTTTAATTTTCCTTTCTGGAATGAAAGAACAGATTTTGTAATGATATGGCTGAGTGAAAGTACTTATACCAATAAAGAGAGATGTAATATTTCAAACTGTTGGATCCTTCATTCTTTTACAGCTTCCAAACTTCAGCAGCGTTGACTTTACACAAGGAGTCCTTGTTGAATGCTTCAAGGCCTAGTGAAAATTCTGGTCAATCTGTGATGTGAGTTCTTCAAGACTAGTATGAAGGTAAAGTCACCACAGTTTTAACTGGGAGATAGCAAGAACTGCCGATGCTGGAGTCAGAGATAACACAGTGTGGAGCTGGAGGAACACAGCAGGCCAGGCAGCATCAGAGGAGTAAAGACGAGGTCGGTGGTGTCAACGGGAGAGGTGATGGTGACCACATGGTTAATGGCGCCAAGCACATTGAGGAGGAGGTCCTGGGTAGGGTTGCTGTCTGACCTACTGTGCCCCTCCAGCTCCGCACTGTGTGATCACAGTCTTTACTGGACCAGGCTGCTCTCTCATTAGAGAGATGATTGGTCGTGGTTTAACCTGAGGGTCACCACGCCACGGGCAAGGGCAGAGGTTTAGAAGGAAAGTGCATAGGAACCTCAGCAGTGCAGGAATTGAACTTGTGCTGTTGGCCCTAGAGGGCCATAAAACCACTAACCAAAGACTAGACTTCATTTCTAGGGGGATAGAATTGAAATGTAGGGAGGTTATGTTCAATATGCACAGGATGTTGGTTAGGCCTCTTCTAGAGTGTTGTGTGCAGTTCTGGTTGCCCTGTTATAAGAAGGATATTATTAAATTCAAGAGGATTCAGAAAAGATTTGCCAGGATGTTGTTGGGAATGGAGGGTTTGATATATAAAAATAGACTGGAAAAGGTGCGACGTCTTCACTGGAGTGGAGGAGGTTGAGGGGTGACCTTATTGAGGATTATAAAATCATGAGGAGCATGGATAAGGTGAATTGTAAGGGTCTGTTCCCTAGGGTGGGGGAGTTCAAAACTAGGGGGCATATTTTTAAGGTGAGGGGAGAAAGATTAAAAGAGGATGTGAGGGGGCAGCATTTTTATACAGAGTGGTTCGTGCATGGAATGAACTGCCAGAGAAGGTGGTGGATGCAGGTGCAGTCACAACATTTAAAGGACTTTTGGATAAGTTCATGAATAGGAAATGTTTGGAGAGATATGGGCCAAGCGCAGGCAAGTGGGACTAGTTTAGTTTGGGAATATGGTCGGCGTGGACTGTTTGGACCGAAGGGTCTGTTTACATGCTGTATGACTCTATGTATTAAATGTTGGTTAGACTACACTTGGGACCAGCCTCTTGCTCCTGTGTTGAGTATGCAGTCAAGAAGATTTCTAATTCCCCAAAAGATCTTGAGAGAAACTTCCCCAAATGGCCTAATTTTCATTTGGGCGTTGCTAACTGGAAGCAGGTATGCCTTCTACAGAAGGAGCCCCAAGGCAGCCACATAAATTGTTGAATACCTAGGTGGGCTAATTAAAAGACTTGCCTAGGTGCCCTGGGACTTTATTTCACTGATATTAAAAATGGGCCTTCTTGCATCCCTCATCCCTACACATTTCTCATGCTCGTCCATCCGCCACACACGCTTTATGCCAATTTAGCACCATTCACTTACCACCCTTTGACCTTGCTCACTCCATGTCAACTCTCCCAGTATCTACCATAGGCAGATCTTAGGAGCCACAGTAAGATGACATAAAATAAATTCAAGTAACAAATTTTTAATTCCCTATGGTAAATAACACTCCTTTATTAAAAACTCTTTCATAATTTAAATCTATTCAAGTGCTTAATCCATTACAGAACAAACAATTGTATTTGAGATAACAAGGTGTAGAGCTGGATGAACACAGCAGGCCAAGCAGCATCAGAGGAGCGGGAAAGCTGATGTTTCGGGCCTAGACCCTTCTTCAGAAAACGATTGTATTTCACAGCCCTCCAGAAAATATAGCTGATCCCTTTTATACCCACATGGAGCTGTCCATCAAGCTGTGAATTTACTGTCCCCCCACTGTGATGATAGGTGGTAGAAGCTGTCACCAAATACTCAATAATACAAAGTGCTGGAGAAACTTGATTGTTTCTCTTTCACGAATGCTCCCAAGACAGAGTTCATGTTTGAGTCCCCAGTTACTTTTCTGCGGAGTGATCCTATAATGTTAGAACTCGGGCTTGTGTCAACGAACATCCATTGAAATTGCAAAACATTTTTTTTCAAGCAAGAGTCACAGCAAGAATTTTTCAAAATTTAAAAAACAGAGGATGTAAATGATTGACAACTTAACAGTTCCACATGTTTAATCCTCCTTTTACATGCAAATTTATATTGGTAATAATCCCACAGTGATACCGAGACCTTTCCAGCAGGATACCTGACCTCCTTATAGAGTCATACAACATGGAACAGACCCTTTGGTCCAAGTTGTCCGTGCCGACCAGACATCCCAATCTGACCAAGTCCCATTTGCCAGCATTTGGCCTTTATACCTCTAAACCCTTCCTATTGATGTACCCACCTGGATGCCTTTAAATTTGTAATTATACCTGCCTCCACCACTTCTTTTGGCATACGTGCGGCACCGTATGCATGTAAAAGTTACCTCTCAGTCCTTTTTAAATCTGTCCCCTGCTCCTCAACTTTGCTTTCTAGTTTTGGACTCCCCCCTACCCTAGGAAACAGACTTTGGCTCTTCACCCTATCTGTGTCCCTAATTTTTTTAAACTTCTATAAGGTCACCCCTCAGCCTCCGACACTGCAGGGGAAAAAAGCCCCAGTCTATTCAGCCCCCTTCTATAGTTCAAACCCTCCAGTCCCGGCAACATCCTTTTCAAAGAGCTACAGTACGTTTAGACCACTTCCTCTAATGTCTCATACTCATGAGACCTGTTTCAGAAACTAGGATGATGAAAATTGCTTGTGAGCCATGCAGCTGTATCTTTTTAAGTGTGCTGGGGTCTCTGTGATCTGGATATGCAACACACGCAGTTCGCTGTTGACAGAAATAGTGAGTTCTGGGCTCAGAGGTGGAACTTCTGTATTCAAGGTACCAGTGCCAATTTTTAGTGAGGTAGCATATCCCTTCCAGCTCTGTTAAGGTGGAAATCTAAACTTTGGTTTGCTGTACAATCTAATGCCATATTATTTAAAAAAAAATGCTCACCAGACTCATTCAGGGAGTGAAGGGCTTATCATGTGGAGATAGGTTGAAAACATTGGACCTTTACCCGTTACAGGATGGAAGAATGAGAGGTAATGTTATCGAAACTTCTAAGATTCTGAGGGGTCTTGTTTGGAGAATATCTTCTCAGCATTCACCCTATGTAGATGAGACTCGAACTAGAGGACACATTCTAAGAATCTGAGGTCTTGCTTTTTAAAATCAAGATGACTGTTTTTCTGAGAATCATTAGCTTGTCGAATTCTCTTTCCCAGAAAACAGTAGAGGTTGGGTCATTGAATCTATTCAGGGCTGAGTTAGTTTTTTGATAGACAGGGAAATTAATGGTTTGGGAGAGGGGTGGCAGACAGGAAAGTTGTGACCTCGAACAAGTAATCTATGATGTTATGGAATGATGGAGCAGGTTTGAAGGACTAAATGGTCCACTTTTGCAGTCTTGCCCTATGGAGAGGGTGAAGGAAGAAATTTCCTGATAATATCAGGAAATGTGAGCGGTCCCTTCAGGAAATGTTAGAGACACTGGATCTTGCCTCTTGAAAAGCAACAACTGAGAGGTGACCTAATGGAAGCCTTTATGAAAGGTTTAGAGACAGTGAATACAGAAAGAACGTTTCTTCTTGTGGTGAAGAAGATAACTGGAGGCCATCAAGATAAGATAAGGAATTTCAAAGAAACTTCTTCCCCTAAAGATTGGTGAAGTATGTGGAACACTGCATTGAAGGGCGTTTTTGAAATGAGTTCTTTTTGGGGCTAGTTGGTTGGTTGGACAGCTGCTTTACCATGCAGGGTGATGCCAACAGCATAAGTTCAGTTCCCGCACTGGGTGAGGTTACCATCAAGGTCTTTCCTTCTCCACCTCTTCCCCTTGACTGTGGCATGGTGACCCTCAGGTTAAACCACCACCAGACATCTCTGTCTAAAGAGAGAGGAGCCTACGGTCTGGTAAGACTGTGGTGACTTTACCTTTTTATTGGTATTTTCTAATTTTATTCCATTTTGATTGCCTATCGCTTTGATAGTTCTGTTGTAATCCTTGATTGACATTTTAGTTTGTAAGGATTCCAATGTGGAAGTGGGTCGGTGCATTGAGTGAATTCTGCAGCACAGGTGTCTACCTTGTCCAACAGCACAATATCTGGTAGTTGTACTTTCTCAACATAAGTCAACCATGAAATAACTGGATAACAAGATGCAGCAAAAGTTCGATTGCAGTTTTGATACTTCGTGCACCTCGTTATTTAAGATGCAAAGAAAGGAAATGCTTCAAAGATGATGAGTTGTTTGCTTTAAGTTATTAATTAAGGCCCAAAATATCTAATATCACTGCTCGAAGTGAGCATGTTTATATTTTGTTTCTGGACTTTGAGGCTTTTGCTGTGATGTTCTCACAGTGTTTATTCTTCACCACCAGATGGAGCTTTTGTACTTTTTTGAAAAAGTTCATTCGATGAATCCAGTTACCAAATTTGAACATATTTATATTTGATGCGTTTCAAGTACTGTGCTGTTCTCTGTTCTGTGTTTAAGTGTGACTGCAAAACATTATTCCATCTTTATTTTACTGGATTTTAATAGAATTTTGTGTAATTTGTCTTTGTGTATGTGTTCTTGTACATGTTCTTGTTCCTTTACAACTTCCATCAGTCCACACCCCATTCTGAGCTGGAAGAATTGTAGGTACTGTGATATGAGTGGGGCTAGTAGAGACAGTGTAAAGTCTGATCCCAGAAGCGGTGGAAAAAAATTATTGAGCTAATTGAACAGACAAGACCTCTGTCCTTTGAAAAGAAACCCCTTAGATTGCGTTTCCTACTGTTACATAGATACTTCAGTAGATAAAGTGAAACTGAAATAGCACTTCCAGAATAAGAAGGCACAGGAGAATTGAATATTTCTGCACAAAGCATGTTTGCCATTGGAAAGATTGGATTTTTTTTTTCAAGAAGCAACCAAGTACTGAAATGGGATTAAGTAGAGATAGGCTTCTGAAAGACTGCCATTGAATAGACTTAAAGAGCACCTTTGTTACACTATACTGTTGTTCCAGGTTTACACAAGTGTAACCAACGGTAAGCTGTTCAAGATTGGAATATCCCTTCATCTTGATAAGCAGAGATCCATTGGAGAGGAAACCTGGGGATCCAGCTACTGGAGCAGACTTTGGAAATAGTTGTAAAAGTGCCAAATTTGGTACTTAAGTCTGTATTTTGCCTCTTGTGAGAATTAAATTGGTTTTAAATCTAAATCCAGGCAAAGTTAAAACTCAGATATCTGGCCTCTTGGTTATTACTTTCATGTGATTTTGAGTAAGTTAGTCATACAGCACAGAAACAGACCCTTCGATCCAACCAGTCCATGCCGACCATATTCCCAAACTAAACTAACCCCACCAGCCTGTGCTTGACCCATATCCCTCCAAACATTTCTTACTCGCATCCTTACAAAATGTCTTTTAAACATTATAACTGTACCTGCATCCACCACTACCTTTGGAAGTTCAACCCACACACAAATTACTCTCTTTTTTTCTTTTTTAAAAGAAAGCCTCTGATGTATTTTTAAAATCTTTCTTCTCTCATTTTAAAAATATTGTTGTGAAAACCCCCATCCTAGAGAAAAGACCCTTGCCATTCACCTTATCTATGCCCCTCATGATTTTATAAGACTCTGTTTGGTCACCCCCAAACCCTACACTTCAGTGAAAAAGAGTCCCATCCTATCCACCCTGTTCTCATAGCTCAAACCCTCCATTCCCAGCAACATCCTGGTAAATCTCTTCTGAACCTTCCCCAGCTTGATAATATCCTTCCTATAACAGGGAGATTAGGAATGGACACAGTACTCCAGAAGAGGCCTCACCAACGTCCTGTGCAACCTCAACATAACATCCTAACTCCCAGACTTAAAGGTCTGAGCAATAAAGGCAAGCATGCTGAACTTCTTAACCACCCTATCTGTTTATGATGCAAACTTCAGAGTTATGTACCCAAACCCCTCGATCTCTCCATTCTATGACGCTACCCAAGGCCCTACTTTTAATTGTATAAGTCTTGCCCTTGTTTGTTTTAGCAAAATGCAATGCCTCGCATTTATCCAAATTAAATTCCATCTGTCACTCCTCAGCCCTTTGATCCCATTGATCAAGATCTCTTTGTAATCTTAGATAACCTTCTTCACTGTCCACTGTACCACCAATTTTGGTGCAAACTTACTCACTATGCCTTCTGTATTCTCATCTAAATCATTTATGTAAATGACAAACAAAAGTGGATTCAACACTGATCCCTGTGAACATCACAGGCCTTCTGACAAAAAGAAACAACCATCACTCTGCCGTTAAGCCAATTTTGTATCCAATTGGCAAGGTCTAACTTTACAAATTAGTTTACCAGGCAGAACCTTGCCAAAGGCTTTACTAAAGTCCAAATAAACAATGTACCACTCTAACCTCATCAATCTTCTTGGCTACTTCCTCAAAAAAAAATTCAATTTCCCTTGATTTCCCTCACACAAGACCATGCTGACTATCCCTAATCATTCCTTGCCTCCTCAAAGGCATATAAATCCTATCTTTCAGAATCACCTCCAACGACTTACCCACCACCAAAGTCAGACCCACAGGTCTATACTTTCTAGGCTTTTCCTTCTTAGACAAAGGCACAACATTATGCAAATCTCCAGTCATTTGGCACCTCCCCCTTATTTATAGATGATACAAATATTTCTGCAAGGGGTCCTACAATTTCGCCCCTAACTTCTCATGACGACCTAGGATACACTCGATCAGGACGCGGAGATTTATCCATCGTCATATTTTTTTAAGGCCGCCAGCTCTACTACTTCTGTAATGTGAACTGTTTTCAAAACATCACTATTTAGTTCCCTGAGTTCTCTAGCTTGTATTTCTTTCTCCAAAATAAAAACTGACGTGAAATATTCATTTAATACCTCCCTTATCTCCTGAGGTTCAACACTGAGATGAGCCCTTTGATCTTTAAGGGGCTCTGCTTTCTCTCTAGTTGCTCTGTTGCTCTTAATGTACTTGTAGAGTCTCTTTGGATTATCCTTAACTCTGTTTGCAATGGCTATCTTGCATCCTGTCTTTGCCTTCCTGATCTCCCTCTTAAGAATGCCCCTTCACTCTTTTTATGCTGTTCAAGAGATACATTTAAACCTAGTTGTTTATATCTAATACTTTTTTTTTATTATTCTTGACTAGAACCTCAATATCTTTATTCATCCATTGTTCTCTAATCCTACCAGCCTTGCTTTTCACTCTAACAGGAACATAATGACTCTGGAACTCTTTTCAGACATTCCTTTAGAAATCTACTCCAATCAATTTTTGAAAGTTCTTGTCTCGTACTATTAAAATTTGCCTTTCTGCAATTAAAAACTTTAATTTTTATGAAAGGCTTATCCTTTTCCATTAACTGTTTAAAACTAATAGAATTATGATCACTAGACCCAAAGTGTTTATCACCCCTGTTATCACTTCAGTTACTTACCCTGTCTAATTACCCAAGAGAAGGTCAAGTTTTTGCTCATTCTCTAGTGGAAACATTTTACATATTGTTCAAGAAAATTTTGTTTAACATGTTTAACAAATTCTTCACCATCCAAACCTTTAATACTATGGTAGTCCCAGTCAATGTTTGGAAAATTAAAATCAATCACTATTACAGCCATATGGCCTGGTGGTATTATCGCTGGACTGTTAATCCAGAGACTCAGATAATGTTCTGGGGACCCGGGTTCAAATCCTGCCGTGGCAGGTAGTGGAATTTGAATTCAATAAATATCTGGAACTAAGAGTCTAATGATGACCATGAATCCATTGTCGATTGTTGGAAAAACTCATTTGGTTCACTAATGTCCTTTAGGGACATCCTTACCCGGTCTGGCCTACATGTGATTCTAGACCCACAGCAATGTGGTTGACTTGTAACTGCCCTCTGGGCAGTTAGGGATGGACAATAAATGCTGCCGAGCCAACGACGCCCTCATCCCATGAGTGAATAAAGAAAAAAAAAGTTATTCTTACATATATCTGAGATCTGTCTATATATTTGTTCCTCAATTACCCTATGATGGCTGGGAGTTCTATAGTACAATCCAATCAAGGTAATCTTTCCTTTTTTAATTTCTAATTATAGCCCATATATTTTCACTGGACAGTTTTTCAGAATATCTTCTCTAGTTACAGCAGTAACGGTTTTCTTAATCAAAAATGTCTCTCTCCCTCTTTTGTCTCTTTGTATCCTCCATATAGCATATGAAACCCGGAACATTGAGCTGTAGTCTTGTCCATCTCTCAGCCAAGTATCCATAATAGCTGTGATGTCCCAATCCCATGTTACCGAACGTACCCGCAGTTCATCAGGCTTATCAGTGAGACCTCTTGCATTGAAATAAATGGAGTTTAATTCTTTAGAGCAACTTCGTTTTTTGGCTTACTCTTGTCTGTCTTTTCTAATTAATTTGTTCTCTTCAGACTCAAAACCATCATTATCTTTCTTTCTGCTTACTCTGCTACTTGGGATCCCCCACCCCCTTTCTCTAATAGTTTACAGGCTGCCTTAATAGAATTAGCACACCTTCCCACTAGGATATTGGTCCCTTTCTAGTACAGGTGAAACTCATGCTTTTTGTACAGGTTTTTTCTGTCCCAGAAGAGATCCTAATGACCCAAGAACCTGATTCCCTGAACATTACACCATCTCTTCAGCCATTGATTTATACCTCTCATCTTCTCATTCTTTCCCACATTTGAACATGGCACTGGGAGTAAACCGGAAGGTGGTTCAAAGTTTTTGAGAAGATTCGTAGCTTGGTTTGTGGATGAGGTTGTAGACTTGCTTGCCGAGCCGGTGTGTTTGATGCAGACGTTTCGTCACCTTGCTAGGTAACATTGTCAGTGCGCCTCCGGTGAAGCATTGGTGTTCTGTCCTGCTTGTTATTTATATGCCTCGGTTTGCTGGGGTGGTTGGTATCACTTCTGGCAAGTAAGTACCAAGCGGGACGGAACGCCAACGCTTCACCAGAGACGCACTGATGATGTTACTGAGCAGGGTGACGAAATATCTGCATCAAGCACACCGGCTCGGCGAGCAAGAAGTTGGTTCTTTTTTTTAATCAAAGGTAATCTCTACTTTTCAGGCTGTCTTAGTTTCACGTTAACGGTGAGCTGAAGATGGATGATGTGATTGCTGAGCTAATAGCAGAAAGAGACCATTCAACTGATGATGGACCTGTTCAGACCAGCAGTTCCCGCCCAGAAATCTGTTTACACCTGCCTACGAGTATACTTCAGTTCCAAAGTACGGCTACCTCCGTAAGCCATTTCTGTTAGAACTTAAAATGATTTATTAAGTCAGAGGCTGTATGTAGTGACATTAAAGAATACTATAGGACCATAAAATGCAGGAGCAAAATAGGCCATTCTGCCCATCAAGCCCACTCTATCAGGATAGTCCTCAACTCTCCTGCCCCATAACCTTTGATTCACTTAATGATTAGAAGCCTGGCTATCTCAGCCTTGCATATGCTGAATGACCCAGTCTCGAATAAGCTTATTTGTTTTTATAGGATCACAGAAGAGAGCCATTCAGCCCATTGTGTCTGTACTAGCTCTCCTAATGAGTGTCCTGACTTAATGCCACTCTCCTGCCTTTCCCAATAATCCTGAACATTGTTTCTACTTATGCTAAGGTAAATTAGCCATGTCTTAGAGGGCCTTAGGGCTGCTGTCTCTTTTAGAGAGAGATGACTGATGGTTGTTCAACCTGAGGGTCACCATGACTCGGGTGAGGGCAGAAATTGAAAAGGAGGGACCTTTAAAGTGACCTCAGCCAGTACAGGAATTAAACCCACGCTTTTGACATTTCTGTGCATCGCAAACTAGCTGTCCAGCCACCTTAGCTAACTGACTCCCTAAGTAATTGTTTAATGCTCTCTTAAAAGAGAGCTACTGGCCTAGTAGTATTGTTGCTGCACTGTTAATCCAGAGACCCAGGCAATGTTTTGAGACTCGGGTCCAAATCCTGCCGTGGAAGGTGGTGAAATTTGAACTCGATAAATATCTGGAATTAAGAGTCTAATGACGACCATGAATCCATTGTTGATTTTCAGAAAGACCCATCTCATTCGCTAATGTCCATTAGTTGGTCGGGCCTACATATGACTGCAGACCCACAGCAACGTGGTTGACTGTTAACTGCCTTCTGGATAATAAGGGATGGGTAATAAATACTGGCCTAGCCAGCGATGCCCTCACCCAGTGAATGAAAATTCGGAAAAAATGCCTTAATTGAACCTTCCCTGCCATCTCGACCTTGTCCTTGCCAAAGGCTGGGTAATCTCCCCTTGAAGGTTGCCACCACTCCTCTCCCCTCTAATAAGGGAGCAACCTCTGGGACAATGGCAAGATTCACTTGGAGTCCACCACACTTCCTGGAACTGCATTCCCAATCCTAATGATTCACTGTGTGAACAAGTTTCTTCTTACATTGCATTTGCTTCATAGAAATCATAGAATCCCTACGGTGTGGAAACAGGCCCTTCAGCCCAACAGGTCCACACTGACCCTCAGAGCATCCCACTCTGACCCATCCCCCTTATAACCCACATAATCTACACATTATACTACGAGCAATTTAGCATGGCCAGTCCACCTACCCTGCACATCTCTGGACTGTGGGAGGAAACCAGAGCACCCGGAGAAAGCCCACGCAGACACGGGGAGAATGTGCACATTCCACACAGACAGTCGCCTGAGGGTGGAATTGAACCTGGGTCCCTGACACTGTGAGGCAGCAGTGCTAACCACTGAGCCACCGCGTCGTGCTTCTGTTACAAATTACTTTTTAAATCTGTGCCTTCTTCACAAGCAGTTCCTTTCTGTCCCCCAACCCTGCAGAATTTAGTTTAAAGCATTCCCAACCACCAGTGAGATCCCTCACAAGGAAATTAGTTCTGTTCAGGTGCAAATTGCTTGGTTTGTACACGTGCCATCCCCACCACAGCGAGCGCCACAGATTTGAAACTCTCCCTCCTGCGCAGTTTTTCCAGCTACAGAATGATCTGTCTTATCCTCCTATTTCTGTACCCCCTTATGTGTGTGATCCTGGCTGTAATTTTGGAGGATATTGTCGGTTCCAGCAGTAAAACCGTGTGACTGCGTATCTTTGATCAGTTTTATGCACGTTCAGCGACTGGCAGTGCAACTTTTTTACATCCATGCTTGTGATGTACAGCGATCAAAGATGCGAAACAAACTGGTTTCCGAAGGACAGTCCAAACCTGTTTGAGTCGCATTCAGAAGGCCATGCTTCATCACCAGTGGCAGACTGCTGCAGAACTGATGACAAACTACTTCCAGATCTTAGAAGACAACACCTCCAGAAAGCAGGCATCTGCTAGTAAGGTAAAGGATATTTGTGGAATATGATTGTAGTTATACACACTCCACTGTCTGAAATTATGCCCCAAATGTGAGTATCTTTGGCCTGGACCTGAAAAGGTGTTTGTGCTGGGCATTCTTGACAATCTGAATATTAGGAAGCTACGTTGGGCAGTTCGGATTCAGTCTCATGGGTGCTGGTCTGAGACTGTTATTGGCCAGACAAGACAAGGACATAGGTCCCTTCCCCAAAAATGTTAGAGATCCAGTTGGATTGTTATTGTTGGATTGTTATTGTTGGATTGTCAACTTTATGGTCACTTTTTTTATTGGTCAGCTTTTTAGTTTTCATTTTTTTTAAAGAAAAATTCAAATTATCAAATTAGCATGTGAACATGCACCTCTGAATTCTTACGCCAGTAACAAATCCCCATCCAATTATTTTATCGTGAATGACCATATCCACTCCATTCTAATGTAAGTATTGATCTGTCAGTGATAAAGGATAATTCACTGAATTGTGAATGAAGAGCTGTTGCTTCATAATCAGTTTCCCATGTAAATTCTGCTGCTGGAGTGAAGTTAATATTGCAACACTCCCAAGAGACTTGCAGTGCTGTTGGTTCCTGAGTTAGCTGTTTTGTTTTATTTCCACTGTATGACCTGCTCTTTCTCTTGGTAAGTGTTTCAAGCAGAGTCCCTCTTGTGCATGCAGTTTACCTCATTATGTGGTTCCCGAGTGGAATTAGCTGGGGAGATGGCAAAAGAGGAAGAGAATGCATTAGGATTTGGTAGCTCATGTAGCTGATGCAATGTGAGATCTGTTCCTGTAGACATTAATGATACTTGCATTTAACAAACAACATTAGCCATCTAGCAGTAGAACTTAGCCGACAGAATTCAGCTTGTCTATTTTTATGTTTATATTTTGTGATGTTAGCGATGTTCTAATTTTGAAAATGTATCTGGTCATAAAGTTCAGTATTATTCATGGGAAATATACTTCACACTATTTCTAGCTGCATGCCCAGCATTATTATATAAGTGCATGTTGCCTGCCAGTTAATACAGTTCCGAAGTCATGTAAATGAAAAATTGAGCAAATGTTAAAGAAGGTGTTTTCCCTGAATGATGTCTTACAATTTTATCCTATCTGTACCATTTCAATTATAATCTCTTTAAGCATTCAAAACAGATTTTTCAGCCTAGAATTTGCTAAAATATCTACATGATTATTTCTAATTTTTAAAAGTTATTTTTATGAGAACACCTAAAGCAGTATTGAAATGACACTATTTCTATGCCAGTTCATTTGGATGATGGGGACTGCAATACTTCAGTATCATCCTAACAGCTGCATTGAGGACGTCAGTTCATTTGCCAGGAAAATGAAGAGTATAGGAGTGAAACATTACCTGAAGGTAACTAAGAAGAAATACTCCTACATTTATACCACTTTTTGTGACCTCCTGGCATCTGAAAGCTCTTTACAGCCAATGGAGTATTTCCAAAGTGTAATGAACTTCACTCTGTTAATGTGTTCGATTTTGAATGTTAAGATCGTGTTGTTCTCCAATGCTTGATTGACGAAGTTGTTTAGTTTACATGCCTTTTTCTTTCTAAAGTTATTTTTGCTTTTAAATCAGTAATCAGTAATTTTTCTTATAGTCCACCAAGAGTATCATATTGTCTGTTACATATTATCTGTTATCTGTTGTGTATTATGGACAAGTTCCAAGACATTATCATCTCTTCGTAATACTGTTTGGACCTTTTAAAAAAGGATTCTTTCCTATTTTTGTAGAACACAGATTCATTAATTACTAAACGATTTAACCTCACTGGTGGTGCCCAGTATGATTACGTGCCAGAGATCAGTTACTTTGTCAAAATCTTTATGAAATCTGAAGAGATCTTACCTTCATGGTACAGTATTTTGCTGGGGAGGGTGTAGCTACCCAGTAAACCATCTAGTGTGCTTGTGCACATGTTTAAAAAGCCTAACTTGCAGCATCAAGTAAAGCAGAATCTCTCCTCTTTTCTGTGTTCCCTAAGATGTGCTTGGAACATGCTTTTCACCTGCTGTGCAATGGAACGATGGAGGAAGCCTACAGGGAATTGTCTTTAGCTGAAACATGGAGATATGGTGAAAAATCTCCAGCTCAGCAAAAAGCGCTTAAACTTATTCAGGGATATAGGTCATTGCTTGACTATTATACATGGGCTAAAAAGAATAGTGCTCTTCAAGAGCAAGGTAAGTGCTTTTTGTGGAGCCATAACGTGTACTGCACTGTTATTATCCTGCTTGAACTTTGTGTGTGCGTGCGTGTGAGGGGACAGAGCAATCATGCGATCAAGAATGGGTGGGTATGCAGGGTGGGTTTGGCAAAATGTGTAAGCAGTTTGCTGGCAGCGCTGGTAAGGAACGCTCCTGCTCATCTTGGCCCACATAAAGTCTGGCATAGGCATTTGCCTGCTGCGACCAGCAGTCGTCTTCCCTTTAGCTGCCCTGTTTCCTGAAACAAACTGACCAGTATAAAATTGAAGTAAAATCTAGCGTCATTAAGTTATATATGTGAGCAATGTGGATGGTACAGTGGCTCAGTCGTTAGCACCGCTGCCTCACAGTGCCAGGAACCCAGGTTCGATTCCAATCTTGGGTGACTCTGTGGGGTTTGCATTTTCTCTCCGTGTCTGCATGGGTTTCCTCTGGGTGCTGTGGTTTCCTCCCACAGTCCAAAGGTGTGCAGGTTAGGTGGATTGGCCATACTAAATTACCCCATAGTGTCCAGGGATGTGCAAATTGGGTGGATTAGCCATGCTAAGTGTGAGGTTATGGGGTTAGATCTGGGTGGGATGCTCTTCAGAGAGTCGGTGCAGGTCCCGATGACTCAAATGGCTCCTTTCCGCATTATAGGGATTCTGTGATTCTAACATGCCTCCAAGAAGATGGTTGGTTATTCTTCCAGTAGTCTTTCCTCTAGAAGTAGCCAGATTTGAGATTGATATACACCCCACCCAACAAAACGTGCTTGTGACAGGGTTAAAATCCTCTCCCCTCCCCTCTCTATTCCCATATCCTGCGTTGTAAAATGCCTGGTTTTCTCTCTATGTCTCTGACCACTTGTGGGACTTGGATTTTATTGTAGTACTGCGCATTTCGCTAAAAACATTTTCAAAGAGCTGAAAACACGACTTTGTAAAATCCTTGAACTGAGTTTCTACCCTTGCATCAGCCTTGAAACAATCCTCATTTGAGTCATTGACTGTGACCATGATATACTAGTTTTCCTTCTGCTCCATGACCTCCCAGTTTTCTCTGACATTTCAGCCTCCCTGTCCTCTTGCAGTATTTTTACCTGTGTAGTACAACACAGTCGAATTTGCTTTGTTGCTGTTTCCTATGCAATTAGAGCCAGAATGTTGCTAGCAGTGGCTTTGCTTCCTGTCCTTGCTCTTTTTATCTTTGCAAGGCTCCAGCAATTCCACCTTGACTGCTGCATGTTTCTCTTTGGCACCAGCATGCAAAGTGTGTCTCTATGTCACCCTCTCTTGGTTTTGTCTGTGCTCCTGGGGAACACCTTAAGACGTTTCTCATTTAAAGATGCGGAATAAATGCAATTTTTCTTATTTGTTTACAAGTAGTAACACTTTGTACTCTTAAAACTAGTTGATGCTGAAGTTGATTCGGGCAGAGCGCAAGAGATGCACAATTATTTTCGACAAGCTTCTATTGGTCTGCATGATGCTGTAGAAAATCCTGGTGTTTGGGATCCCTTTATACTGAGCTATGTAAATGTAAGTTTCAGTATCTCTGGGTACTTAACACAGAACGTTTTAAAGCTTCAATATTCTGCCAAGTTATTTACTAGCCTTTTGCAGGGAGCATAATGCTGCCGTAGTGTTATTTTCAATCTGATTGAATACAACAGTTGGAATGCTGTGATTTGAAGACCAGCCTTGGATCAGTGGTGGGACACAATAAGGGGCTTAAGGATTCAAATCCCACTCCGAAGACATGAGCACACTATCTAGGCTCTTCCTTGCTATAGTACCAGATGAGTGCTGCACTATTACTGTTTTTTGTATGAAATATTTTACTAACATCTCATCTCTCGTCTCTGCTAAAATTCTATGACCCGATTCCTAGAAGCACGAGGGAGCTCTTGTGGTGTTTTGGTTAATCTTTGTCCTCAGTGCCATCCAATTAGCTCGTGATTTGTCTCATTGTGTAATTTGAGGCTTTTCTGTGTTTGCCTACATTATATCAAAATGTACCTAATTTAAGGGTGAAATGGTTAGGAATGCCCTGAAAGATTTTTAATAAACACAAGTTCATTGATGGGTACGTTGTCATATTCACAACCTGAGAGTGTGCTTGGGAAATGTGCTGCAACTGTTAGCTATTTTACATAATTCTGTCTGAAATGTGTTGGGGAATAGGTATCGGGAAATTGAGCATAAAGTCTTGTGAATCATGGTCGAAGAAGGCTATTATATTGCAAAACGGATAAATATATTAAATATTGACTGAAGTGGCATAGTAGTTTAACTCAGTTTTGCTTCAATGCTTTTCATTTGTCCATAATTTTTACTTATGGAGAGCTTCTAGCTTCTTGAATATAAATTTTACATATACTTGCCCGCTAGATGGTGCTTTCTGAATTGCATACAGCTATTAGGAGTAAGCTGAAAGTTTACTGAATTTACACGTCTTCATTCTGTGTTCTCTGATCACTGTTGTTTGTAGCCCAGCTTGAGAGATGTTTCTTATGTGTGCCAGTGTTTTAGGCCAAGAGTTGTACAACACGGACAAGACCCTCCAGTGCTGACCATGGACCTCCTTGGATATCCTAATTTAATCTTGTCCCATTTTTCAGCATTTGGCTCATATCTCTCCAAACCCTTCCTATTCATATACCGATCCAGATGGCTTTTAAATATTGTAATTGTACCCGCCTCCACCACTTCCTCTGGCAGCTCACTCCATACACGCACCACCCGCTGTGTGGAAAACGTTGCTTCTTAGGTCCGTTTTTAAATCTTTCCCCTCTCAACTTTAACCTTCGCCCTCAAGTTTTGGACTCCGCCAGGAAAAAGACCTTGCCGATTGACCCTATCCATGCCCCTCATGATTTTATAAACCTCTATTATGTCACTACTCCGTCTCTGACGCTCCAGGGAAAATAGCCCCAGCCTCTTACTATAGCTCAAACCCTCCAACCCTGGCAACATCCATGTAAATTTTTCTGAACCCTTTCAAGTTTCACAACATCCTTCCTATAGCAGGGAGACCAGAATTGCGCACAGTATTCCAAAAGTGGCCTAACCAATGTCCTGTACTGCCACAACATGACCTCCCACCTCCTAAACTCAGTGCACTGAACAATGAAAACAAGTGTACCAAACACCTTTTTCACTATGTTAACTACCTGGAACTCCACTTTCAAAGAACTATGAACCTGCACTCCAAGGTCTGTTTGTTCAGTAACACTCCCCAGGACCTTACCATTGAGTGTATAAATCTTTCCCTGATGTGCCTTACCAAAATGCAACACCTCACATTTATCTAAATTAAATTCCATCTGCCACTCCTCGGCCCATTGGCTCATCTGATCAAGATCCCATTGTGCTCTGAGGTAACCTTCCTCGCTGTCCACTACACCTCCAATTTTGGTGTCATCTGCAAGCTTACTAATCATACCTCCTATGTTCACATCCAAATCACTTCTATAAAAGCAGTGGACCCAGCTCTGATCCTGTGGCACACCGCTGGTCCCTGGCCTTCAGTCTGAAAAACAACCTTCCATCACCACCACCCTCTGTCTTCTACCTTTGAGCCAGTATCCAAATGCCTAGTTCTCCCTGTATTCCATGTGATCTAACTTTGCTTATCGGTCCACCATGAGGAACCTTGTTGAACACCTTACTGAAGTCCAAATGGATCATGTCCACCACTTTGCTCTCATCAATCCTCTTTTTGTTACTTCTTCAAAAAAACTCATTCAAGTTAGTGAGTCACAGTTTCCCATGCACAAAGCCATGTTGACTATACCTAATCAATCCCTGACTTTCCAAGTTTTCTAAAGTTAACAATTTTCTTTTAACTTGGGCCAAGGGCTGTCTGTAGGACTCTCTGGCTTTGAGAAAAGTCATGCTTGTGTAAGCATCTTAGAAATCAGCATTGCACAAGCATCCCCTAACTCGGTGTAATGAGTGCATTCAATCATCAGTAGGACCTATTGTTTAGCACTTTAAGCTGAAACAGATGATTTGTCCCAATCAGGAATAAAGTAAAGAGTTCACATAGATCAAGAGAAAAACACTTGTATTTTGTAATCCTTTAGAAGCAGACGCGTCGTCTGTTTGGCTTAATGATAGAAATTCCAGCTCCTAATTGTTGCCTAATATTCCCAGTTTCAGATCACTCTGCCTGAAATAATTCCACAGAGGCTGGTATCCTGGTGAGTGCACACACTGGAAGATCCACTTACATGTACTTTTAAACAGTTAGGTTGCTTAGCAACGTCCAGTTCAGAGCCAATCAAAATAAATGTCTGTTTAAATGGTCGCCCAGTTCTGATGGAGGTTGATACTGGCTCAGCTGTATCGGTGATTGCAGAACCAGTCTTTAACAAGATTCACTCTCAGCACTGGCTCTGAGTTAGCTGATCAGAGTCCATGTACTGTGCACAGTTAAATAAAGGATAACTTGGTGGCAGGATGCTGGCCTCTGTGAATTATTTCAATGCCTTTGAATCTTTCCCTCTAAATTTCATTGCTTTCCAAGATGTCCTGACAGCTGGTTGCTGTGGTTCTTAATGTTGTGTTAGTCAAATGTATGGAAGATGTTGAACGATTAACTGGCTAGTTGGTTGAAGTTTAGAACAGTACAGTACAGGCCCTTCGGCCCATGATGTTGTGCCAAACTTTTACCCTAAACCTAAGGTCTATCTAACCTCCACCCCTACCTTATACTATCATCCAAATGCCTATCTAATAGCCACTTAGATGCCCCTAATGAGGCCGACTCCACTACCCTCTCCGGCAATGCTTTCCACTCCCCTACCACTCTCTGAGTAAAGAACCTACCTCTGACGTCTCCCCTACATCTACCTCCACTCACTTTAAAACTATGCCTCCTCGTAATAGCTACCTCCACCCTAGGAAAGAGTCTCTGGCTGGCCACTCTATCTATACCTCTGATCGTTTTGTACACCTCTATCAAGTCACCTCTCATCCTTCGTCGTTCTAAAGAAAAAAGCCCTAGCTCTCTCAACCTTTCCTCGTAAGACCTTCCCTAAAGTTTGCCCTGCCAAAACCACCACAGATGTGAATGTGCAGAAAATCTATCTTTGCACGGAATTATTTTGAATATTTCTATCCCCATCTTGCAAATGTTGGTAACTTGTGTTGTTTTTGATTTCAGCTCCTTGATTTCTATGATGGTTTTGAAGAAGCACTGACTGTGTTAAATAATTATGCTTATAATAGCAGATTTCCACCAAACCCAAATGCTCATGTGTACTTGTACGAGTTCCTGAAAAAACACAACACCTCGGCTAAAAAACTGATAAAAGTACTGAGGGTAAGATTCACTTGTCTGACGATCGCGAGAAGGGTCTGATCTGCTTCATCTGATTAGAGCCTGTATGATTTTGTTTTCATCTTGTTGCAGGAACCATGTTTGTCTCCATTGCACCGATTGGAGATATATCGAACTTGCATGTTCATGCTTCTGGTTCATGCCGCACTTAGCTGCACAGTTTAAAAACTTTATTTTACAGTCACCTTTTTTCTGGTTGTTTCACTGCGTGGGATAGTAGGAAAATCTGGTGAATTTACAGTTGTTGCCTTAAGCTGCATTGCAGATGTCTGTCCTCGTCCATTTGCCGTGGTCTGTCTTCTGCAGATGGAGGCATCTGGGTGGTAAATCCATCAGGGAGCAGCTCCACAGAGCAGAAAGAATAGCTGCCTGCCTTACTACTTACTTGTGCTGATTGGTTGAGCTTTGAGGGGAGTTGCTCAAACCTAAATAACCAATCATTTCCCAGTATTGTGATTGGGCTTTAATCTTAGGCCTGGGACTGTCGTAGAATGAGGCCATCTCTCAATACACGTGCATGAAATTTCCAAAATTTTGAAAACCAAACCAATCTTGTTGTAAACTAAATAATTAATAAGGTGTTCTTTACTTTGACTGTTTATTATTTTGTATAGATTAGCTAACAGCTTTTTAAAAAAAGGATTCACTGTATTTGTTTGGAAAGAACAGTTTTATTAAAGCTTTGTGGCACTGCTCGAGAGACATATATTAGCTGGGCCACTGTGGAGAACTCCTATGCTCCTCTTCGGAACCATGCAGTGGGGTCTTTTGTGTGTCTCCACCAAGAAGGGCAGATTGAACTGTGTTTTAACATTTCATCTGAAAGATGGCACTTTCACCACTGCAGCATTTGCTCAGTACAGAACTGGAGTGTTAGCCTAGATTTCCTTTGTTTAACTCAAGTCCTAGAATGAGTTTTGAACCCAGTTTCTTGTGACTCAGAGATAAAAGGTCTATTCACGGAGCCATGGCTGACGTGGTTGTTAAGAATTGGAAGTTCCGTTTAAGGCGAGAGGTCCAAGATCTAGTGGAAGCCAGTGGATCACTTGCGTTGTCAAAGATCAGGCCTGCCTTTTCAAGCCTTTCCTTTCCAAGGGTCATTTGCTGGAGGGTGCAGCTCTGCTATCTGAGGAGCAACGAGCCAATACTTGTTCTAGACACTTTCAGCGGAAGTGCAGAGTACCTTTGTAGAAATTTCACCTCTTGATTAGCCACATTCTCAGTCATTTTGTAACGGTTTACCTTGTGTTTTAACCGTGGTATTTATACAGTTAAAAATCCTTGGCTTTCTCCAGTGACAATTAGCAAATTCCTCTTGATTTTCGTCTTTGATCATGTATGAAAGTGCAAGTTCTTCCCAGAAGCCAGGATCTGAAAGCCGAGTGAAAATGTGTGTCCCTGCCTGCTGACCAGTCAGCGTGCGTATGTATGGGCTTTGAGTACAAGTAGCCTGTTGTGCAAAGTGCAGGCCTTTGAAAAATTTCTGACTGGCACGTTCTTTCAACAAGCTTGTAAGTCACTTTTTGTTCATAGGAACCAGCATCTATTAGTATTGTCCCCATCTGGTTTCAAAATACGTTGTGTAACATATTACGAAAAGGGATTTGATTATTAAATGTGTATCATCCTATTGTGCATCTTTAGGGCCATCGCCCTATTTACTGGAGTTTTTTTTTGTTGAATCTCCAGATCTTGCATCAGCTGGTTCCTTCCCATGAAGTGATGTTAGAATTTAACTCGCTCCTTCTGCAATCAAGTAAGTACTTCAGTGAGAATATTGCTTTTGCTGAAAAGCAAGTGTCTAATAGGGACTTGTAGGGTCTTGAGGCGCAGTAGAGGTGCCCCTACCTCTGGGCCAGGAGGCCTGCGTTCTAGTCCTAACTGCCCCAGAGGTCTGTCATAACATCTGTGAAAATATCAAGAGTAAAGATTTGAACTGCAACACCCGACTCTGAGACAGGAGTATTAACTACTGACCACTGTATGGATCTGTGAGTTCAGTTAATTAAAGAAAATCTTGTCACTTGAAAGCAGAAACTTCATCCACAATGTCTTGTTTTGTTTCAGAAAAAAAGAAGCATTGTAGGGAAGCACTGGGTGTCCTCTTCAGCCTTCTGGATTTTTCTACATGGAAAGAAAACTGCCACGTATGGAAATGTTTAATAAAACAGATGAAGAAAGTTATAGCAGAGTATGTACGCTTTTTAAAAAAAAAAAAATTATCATGTGGGATGTGGGTTTCGCTGGCTGGTCAGCATTTATTGCCCGTCCTTAGTTGCCCTTGAGAAGGTGGTGGTGAGCTGCCTTCTCAAACTGCTGCATTCCGTGTGCTGTAGGTTGACTAAAATTTCCTTAGAGAGGGAATCCCAGGATTTTGACCCAGCGATATTGAGAGAACAGCAATATATTTCCAAGTCAGGGTGATGAGTGGCTCGGAAAGGAACTTTCAGTTTGTGATGTTCCCGTAAATCTGCTGCCATTGTCCTTCTAGATGGAAGTGGTTGTGGGTTTGGAAAGTACTGTCGAAGGATCTTTGACCAATTTTTGCAGTGCATCTTGTAGATACTGAGCGTCAGTGGTCATGGGAGTGGATATTTGTGGGTATGGTGCCAATCAAGTGGGTTGCTTTGTCCTGGATGGTGTCAAGCTTCTTGAGTGTTGTTGGAGCTGCACTCATTCAGGCAAGTGGGGAGTATTCCATCTCGCTCCTGATTTGACCTTTTCAGATGGTGAACAGGCTTTGGAGAATGAGTTAACTCACTGCAGGATTCCTAGCCTCCGATGTGCTCTTGTGGCCACAGTATTTATACAGCGAGTCCAGTTCAGCATCTGGTCAACAATATCCCAGGATGTTGATATTGAGAGCCTCGGTGATGGTAACTCCATTGAATGTTGAGGAACGGCGGTTAGATCATCTCATATTGGAGATGGTCATTGCCTGGCATTTGTGTGGTGTGAATTAATTTGCTACTTGTCAGCCTTAGCCTGGATATTGTCCAAATCTTATTGCAGTTGAGTGTGGATTGTAATCATAGATTAACATCCCCACTTCTGACCTACTGAAGGAGGGAGGGTCGTTGATAAGGCAGCTGAAGATGGTTGGGCCTAGGACACTACCCTGAGGAACTCCTGCAGAGACGACCTGGAGCTGAGATGACTGTCCTCCAACAACCACAACCATCTTCTGTTATTCCAGGTATGACTCCAGCCAGTGGAGAGTTTGACCCTGATACCCATTGACTTCAGTTTTCCTAGGGTACCTTGATTCCATACGTGGTCGAATGCAGCCTTAGTGTCAAGGGCTGTCACTCTAACCTCACTCTGAAATTCAGCTCTTTTTTTATCCTTATTTGAACCAAAGCTATGATGAGGTCAAGAACTGAGCGGTCCTGGCAGAACCCAAACTTGATGACAGTGAACAGGTTTTTGATGACCAGGTCCATCTGGATAACACTATTGATGACACTTTCCATCACGTCAGTGATGACTGAGAGTAGACTGATAGTAGACTGATGGAGTGGTAATTGGCCGGGTTTCAAAATCTCCCCTCCCCCTACCGCATCCCAAAACCAGTCCAGCTCGTCCCTGCCTCCCTAACCTGTTCTTCCTCCCACCTATCCCCACCTCCCACCTCAAGCCGCACCTCCATCTCCTACCGACCAACCTCATCCCGCCCCCTTGACCTGTCCGTCCTCCCTGCACTGACCTATCCCCTTCCTAACTCCCTACCTACACTCACCTTTACTGGCTCCATCCCCGCCTCTTCGACCTGTTTGTTTTCTCTCCACCTATCCTCTCCTCTATCCCTCTTCTATCCGCCTCCCACTCTCTCCCTATTTATTTCAGAACCCCCTTCCCCTCCCCCTTTTCTGATGAAGGGTCTAGGCCCGAAACGTCAGCCTCTCTGCTCCTATGATGCTGCTTGGCCTGCTGTGTTCATCCAGCCCTGCACCTTGTTGTCTCGGGTTGGATTTGTCTTGCTTTTTGTATACAAGACATACCTGACCAATTTTCCACCTTATCTGGTAGGTGCCAGTATTGTTGCTGTACTGGAACAGCTTGGCTAGGAGAGTGGCAGCTTCTGTTGCCAGAATATCATCTGGGCCCATAACCTTTGCAGTATCCAGTTCCTCAGTTCCAACTCTTTCTTGATATCACATGGAGTGAATTGAGTTGGCTGAAGACTGGTATCTGTGATGTTCTTGACTACTGGAGGAGATTGAGATGGATCATCCACTTAGTACTTCTGGCTGAAGATTGCTGAAAATTCTTCAGCCTTATCTTTTGCACTGGTGCGCTGGGCTCTTCCATCATTGGGGACGGGGATATTTTTGGAGCCTCCTCCTACAGTGAGTTGTTTAATTGTCCACCACCATTCACCACTGGATGTTGCAGGACTGCAGAGCTTCAATCTGATCCATTGGTTGTGGGAACGCTTAGCTCTGTCTATCACTTGATGTTTGGCACAGAAGTAATCCTGTTTGGTAGCTTCACCAGCTTGACACCTCATTTTTAGGCATGCCCTCTTGCACTTTCCGTTGAACCAGAGTTGATGCCCTGGCTTGATAGTAATGGGTGAGTGAATGATATGCCGCACCATGAGGTCGCAGGTGGTGGTAGAGTAGAATCCTGTTGCTGTTGATGGTCCTCATGGATGCCCAGCTTTAAATTGCTAAATCTGTTCGAAGTCTGTCCTGTTTTAACACTGCGATAGTGCCACGCAACACAATGGAGGTTATTCTCAATGTGAAGGTGAGACTTCGTTTTCAAAGGGACTGTGAAATGGTCGCTCTTACTAATGCTGTCGTGGATAGATGCATCTGCAGCTGGCAGATTGGTAAGAATGAGGTCAAGTATGTTTTTCCTCACCACCTGCCGCAGACCCAGTCTATGTCCTTTAGGACCCAACCAGCTCGATCAGTAGTGCTGCTGCTGTGCAACTCTTAGAGGTGGATATTGAAATACCCCACCCAGAGTACATTTTGCATCTTTGCCACCCTTAGTGCTTCTTCCTAAGTGTATTCAATGTTGAGGAATACTGATTCATCAACTGAGGGAGGATGGTATGTGGTAATCAGGAGGCACAGGAGGCATCCTTGCCCATGTTTAACCTGAACCCCCCCCCCCCCATTCTTCATGACATATACACGACATTTAATATGTTTGACTGCACAATCTTCCTCTAATATTCTCAATGTGCTCGCTAGGCTTAGGGTGGCTGCACTTGTCTAGTTCCAATCATTGAATTACTTGCAATGCCTTCTCATTCTCATTACCTCTGGAATCCCTAGCGTCTATCTTTGATCCTGATTCCTATTGCTTAACAATGTGCTGCCCCTTGGCAACATTGCTGAAAAACAGTTTTAGTTTTCACTTGGATGGTCAGCTCTACCTCGCCATTGTCACTGTCTGTTTCCACTTCCCAAAATGATCCCATTGCTTTTCTGACATCAAGTCTCAGTCAAAGCAACCAGCCTCAGTTCCATCTGCTGCTGTTCCATCTTATTCTACCAACACTGGACTGTTCCAAAACACTTCTGACCAACCTCCCAGACTCTCTTCTTTTTCTCTATAAGCTTGATGTCTCCAAAACTTTGTGTCTTTAACGGCACCAGATCCCTTGGATTTCCCATCCTTATTGGCACCAGATCTCTTTACCACTGTGCTCACTGAAGCTTTCACTCACACAAAGTGTGGATTTTCAAATTCTCATCCATGTCTTCAAGTCCCTCCATGCACCTCCCCCGCCCCCCCAGTCTGTATATTCTCCTCCAAATCTCAAGCCTCCAAGATATCTGTGATTGTTTAATTCTGGCTTTTTGAATTGATTCTAATTGCTCCATTCCTGGTGGCTGTGTCTTCAAATGCCAAAACTCTAAACTGTGAACTCTGGAAATTCTACCCCAAAAACCTCCCCTGCCTGCCTCTCTCAATCTGCAGCTTCCATTCTGAAGAAGGGTCACTGGACCCAAAACATTAATTCTTTCTCTCCACACATGCTATCAGGTCTGCTGGGTTTTTTCCCCAGCAATTTCTGTTTTTGTTTCCTCCTTTTTAAGATCCTCCTCATCACCCACTCCTTTGATACTTTTGGTCGAATCTGATATTTCCTTATGTGTCCGATAGCAAATTCTGCCGAATGAGGCTCCTATGAGGGGTTTTGGGATGTGCAACTACTTTAAAGCTGCAGTATAAATACCAGTAATAGTGTGCCAGCTTAGACTGTACTCAAGTCTGTGGACTGAGGATTCTTACTCATTGTAGTTTGAAAGTCAAATCTAAAATGTCGATATTTCACAGTGCTATTATTTTCTGTCCCTTTAGGGGCCACTGTGACTGGATCCATGAGCAATGGGCGTCGAGACAAGATTGGTGGCCTCCGTATCATTTCAGCAAATATCGAGCGCACAAGGATTTTGAAGAAAATGAGGGCTATGCTTGTAGGAAAGCAATGATTGCGGGAATCCTAATGGGGAAAGGTAAGTCAAAAAATGTATCCCTTAAACTAATGTTGTGTCTGTGGATTAACTTCTTTGCAAATTCAATCCCACAGTAATAAAGGGACAGTGTGAAACCTCACATTTTACTCTCCATACACTTCAGGTCAATGCTTACTCTGCATCCTAACACAGTAAATTCCATCCGTTCTCTGGGTTTGTTGGGACAGCAGCTTCCAGTTAAATACACTTTGGTTTTAAAATTTTTATCTGTTTCCCTTGTTCCCTGGCTTTGCCCCTCCCTATCTCTATATTGTCGTCTGATCCCACAGCCACCAAGATATCTGCACCTCAGTAATTCTAGTCTATTGAGCATCCCCATTTTTACTCACCGTACTGTTTGTTGCCATGTCTTTGACTGATTAGAGCCTAAGCTCTGAAATTCTTTCTCTCTATCTTTCGACCTCTCTTTGCTCCTTTAAGATGCCCTCAAAAAAGCTAGCAATGGGCAATGTTTTTCACCATTTTCCCTGACCGTGTCTTTTGTACCACTGTCATGTTTTGTTTCATGTTTTTATGAAGTGCATTAAGATGTTTTATTAACTCAAAGACTTTACAAGTTCAGGTTTGAGTGATTGCTGTTCTAAACTTTTTCTACTAGAAAAGTGGAGTGAAGCGTGGTGCTTAGATCATGGATTTTTGAACAGAAGTCCTAATATCCTTCTGAAAACACCTTTTGTACTTCACAGCTGTACCTGTAGCATGAAATTTAAGTCATGCAGTCAGTATGCTTGCTTGAGTTGCAACAGAAGGTTACTTGAATTGATTGGGCCCTCATTTCGAGGCAGTCTTTTCATTTATTTGCTTTGAGATGATTTCTCATTGAATTGCTAACATCTGGTGAGTGAAATAAATTGTCTGTGCACTTCCTTTGATAATTAAACTTGAGACGTACTAGTATGTCTTCTGATTACCTAAGGAGTTCTTATTTTATCATAATTCCTAAGAAAGATATTTTATGGCACAAAATTTAAATGTTCACGTTTGATCAATTTCCCTGCAGCTGAAAATGTTCTTCTCTTAGATGTTGCTGGATGATCAGGTATTCTCTTTCCGTCTCTCTGGTCTTCAATGCCAGTTAGGAATCCCAACTGCTGTGCAGTTAAGTCAATTCAACATTGGCCAGGAGTGAAACATAGGAGCCTCTGATCTGTGTGGTTTAAGAGAATATTGGGCCATATTTTCTGTATCACAAATCATCTGCTATTTTCTGTTGGGAACCTGAAGACTTCCTAATGTTTGTGGCAGCACTGCCTGGGAGCTTCAAACTTCTGACGAGCAGATTTACGCTTCCCTGGGGACTGTGAATGTCTCTTACACTGACTGAGTCAGAAACTTGGTCTAGATATACACAACTCACCGCAATCCTTAACCTCTAAGTGTTGCATGGTTTAAACTGTGAAGCAACTCTGTCACTGACCGCATTTCTCAAACCTCCACCACACATAATCCTCAAACAGCTTCCCCCACGTCCCCACTCATCATTGACTGAAATGGAGGTCCTTGGTCTCACTGTTTTCTTTGGTATTGAAGATTTGTGTATGCATCTAGCTGCTTTTTAACCAAGCTTTGAATTTGTTCCTCTCTTTACCCCTTTAGGCTGCAAATACTTTGTCACCATTTACCAACTGGGAAGCAAAATTCAGGGAGCAAAACTGAAGAAGATGAGACATTATGTAAAGAATCACAGTCTGCGCAGTATATGTTTGACCGTGTGACTCTGGACATACAGTTCATAAAAATCAAAACTCAAATTTTCAAAAAAATTTGAACATTTTGGAATCTCTCTCTGAAATAAAAGGGAAGAAAAGGATTGCAAGCAATTTATTTTGTTATTAATCCCACTAAGGAAAGTGTTGCTGAGATTTGTATTAAACAAAACACATTTATTAGCACTGATTTAAGAAGGATTAGTTCATGTCATCCTCTTTAAGATAAAACACAAGTGTGACCCAGAGCAGACAGCTGACAGGAAACATTCCTCATAATTACAGGAGTGTTGCTACTTCCAACAGGCCTAGATTTTCTTCAGTGTGCAGCATTCATTCAGATTGTTTTGGAGAAAACTCCACAATACAGCAGAGGTAAATACAAATGGTACCTGGAACGCTATAAGAATGTGTAATATTGGCAAATTTACATTGTAACAAACTTAAAAATATTTTTCAACTAAATGGTGAACACTTCTATAATGAAGCATTTACAAACTAATGCATTTAAGTTTTTCAATGAAGTCAGTCAATAAAATGATTGTGCTGGTCTAAAAAGCTCAGTTCTTACCGTCACTAGATTAATAATTTTAATGTGGTCTTGTTTTTTGAGGAGTGGTGGTGGGTGAATATTGGTGAGGAGTGTGGAAGGGAAGTTTGTGGTAGAGCAATGTATAATGCCATCAAACATTCAACCAGAACTAATGGGTTCAATGCTAAATGTAATGAACTTTGTCATTGACAATGTAGCTCCTAATAATCAAAGATGAACAGGATGTTAGAATTATGTTCTAGCTTTCTCGATACAGAAGAAGCAGTGAATTTGTTAGTTCGGTAAAACCTTGGTTACCTACATATGAAGCACTTTGTGTATTGCTGGACTTTGCACCATTAGAAGAAATGTTTGTTTTAAAAGTAAGTTAGCAGTGTTCCAGCACTCAATTTACAGTTGTCAATCATTGTGCAACCAGCCCCCCAAGCCGCCTCTAATAACTTTCCTGTATCCCAGTCTGGCTCCTAATATCACCCTCTGTTCTTCCCTTTAAAATCTCTGTTTTATTTCTGTCTCCGTCATTCTCCTGAACTTTCTTTTGAAGTGCTGGGCCCAGCTAATGGCAGAAGTTAGTTGGTGCTGATAGTTCTGTCTGCACTGAATGTCCTCTGCCACTAGATGGAGACTGGTCAATTGAAACTTCAGGTGAGTGTAATATTTGCAGTACATGGGGGTAGAGGCTCTTGTGGTGCAGTGAAAGTGCCTCTGCCACTGAGCCAGGAAGTCTAGGTTCAAGTCCCACCTGTTCCAGAGATGGATAATAAATATCTGAGCAGGTTGATATAGAAAACATGTATTTATAATGCATGGGTTCACATTTATTTTATAGCTCTTTGTTTTACGTTTATTTTAGAGGTCGTTTTTGAATGTAGATATTAAGAACTGTGCACTGTTTTCACTTAATGTTTTAAGGTTTTTTTTTCTCTGCAGACTAAGGTCCTAACTTAGTCCTTGGTTTTATTTTGCAAGTTGGATTCCTAGCTGAAGCATGGGTACAGTATAATATTTCAATCTGTGCATTCTTTTACCATGCAAATCATGTCCACAGGAACTTTTGCCTGATTTCTATGGGAAACTATGTTTCACTTAAAGTCATAATTTTCAGGATTGGAACTTCAATTGAGAAGTTATTGTAATAATAGCCACACACCCTTGCTCCCCTTGATTTTCAAGGTGATGCAGCTTACAATTTGGGAGTTGCAGTGAAATAAAATTTTGAGTTAGTAGAATTCAATAGATGATGCATGTGTCAATGTAGTGTTTTGCTTGGTGGTGTAAGTGGATGTTTGAAGTAATGGTTGATTAAGTGTATGTAACTTTCTCATTTTTTTTAAAAAAGATTTGGTAATTTTTGCGTCCATCAAGGTAAAGGATGATGGCATTGGAAGTTTACGCTTCAGGTACTCCAAATCAGCACACAACACTCTCCAAAAGGAGAAGAAATTGTAGATATGTTTCATTTAGTGTAAACAACATATAAATATGCAACATAAACGAAAACAAATTGCTGGAAAAACTCAGCATGTCTGGCAGCATCTGTGGGAGAAATCAGAGTTAATGTTTCAAATCCAGTGACCCTTCTTCAGAGCAATTCTCTCCACAGATGCTGTCAGACCTGCTGAGATTTTCCAGCGATTTGTTTTTGTTTCTGATTTCCAACATCCACAGTTCTCAGTTTTTTTTTTGTATAGAAATATGCAATATTTAGGAGGGTAGAGAAAATGGGTGAGGACCTCTTTAATAGAGATTGCCTAGATACAGGCAAATATTTCTCTCAACCGTAGATTGACATTAAGCACTTAAAGCTCCCATTTCTTGATTCGAAGCCAGAGATGATAAGCTTGCAAGATTTCTTCTGTTATTAACTGTGTATAAAACATTGCATTTAAAATGGAAACAAAGCTGGGAATATCCAATAGATAAGACGTTAGCTACAGAGAAGAAAAAAACGTTGATTTAGTGTTTCAGTTGATTGTATTTTGGACTTGCAATATCTGCAGTATTTTTGTGTCAAAACACTAGTTTCTTTGACTTTTATAGAAAATGGTTCAATAAAACTCCATACAGGCAACTTTTACAGATATCAATGTTGTAGCAATGACAATATAATTAAAATTCAATCAAATATAAACAAAACAGCTTTCTTTAGCTTGGAATTCAGAAGTTTTTGTTATTGTCTCAACCTTGCCTTATTTAAACATTTCCATGTAGAAAGTCAAAAGATTCGGGTATGTGGTAGTTGTATATCTTTATGAAGCACAGTATTATCTACGGAAGATGCTGCTATGATGTATCTGTCTACATAGTGCCTCCTCAATGAACATGCAGGATTTTACCAGTGCATCCTGCCCTGAAGTATTGTTGGGACATAAGGGCTCCATTAGTCATGCCTGCATTGTCAATCCCAGTACCATCTGTCTTCAGGATCAAGTATGTGAAGCTGCATTAAAACAAAAACCTAGCTATTTTTGCTGTTCAGAATACTGATTTAGCATTTACCTTAATTATATTTCAAACAAAATGGAAATTTGTTTTAGTGCCTCCGGGCTCATATGTGACCCAACAACACGCTTGTATCAATATACCCAGAGCTAACGAGCAGACTTTTATATTCTCAGCTGGGTCATGTTACAGATCAGTCCTAAAGCACAGCATTCTTTGGCTGAAGGAAACAAGAAATGGGAGCGTTTAAGTACTTGTATCATAAAATCTTTGACACAGATCTTCTGACTTGAAGTTAGTTATTGTAGCCCTGAAGGATGTTCTGCGGGATTTGTTGGAAACCCACTGAAAATGTCTTTAAACTCTGAGTTAGAGTTGCAACTTTGGAAGGTTCAGACACACTGACCTGCATAGTTATCCAAGAATAGCTGGAGAGATTATAACCAGCTGTAACTCCTCGGTAACTATAAAACTCAATGTTACTCCCACATGAGACCACCTTCAGTGAACTGACCCGACCTGACATCCCAAATTTGACTGTCCCCGACTCGTCATCCCCCACTGACATGACCAACACCGCTCCCCGCACCTCCCCAAAACCTTGGCCTGGCCACCAACCCATCCCACTGACCTGACCCCTCTAACACAACTACGCCACCCCCCGCTACTACCCTTATCAACCCACAGCCACCAGATTCACTTAAACATTTTTTTGTCTTTATTTATTCACGGGATGAGTGTGTCTCTGGCAAGGAAGCATTTATTGCCTAGAAGGCAGTTCGGAGTCAACCGCATTGCTGTGGGTCTGGAATCACAGGTAGGCCAGGCAAGGTAAGGATGGCAGTTTCCTTCCCTAAAGGACATTAGTGAACCAGATGGTGTTTTCCATAAATCGACAATGGATTCACAGTCATCATTAGATTCTTAATTCCAGATATTTATTGAATTCAAATTCCACCATGCTGTGGCGGGATTCGAACCTGGGTCCTTTTCTGAAGAAGGGTCCAGACCTGAAACGTCAGCTTTCCTGCTCCTCTGATGCTGCCTGGCCTGCTGTGTTCCTCCAGCTCCACACCTTGTTATCTCAGACTCCAGCATCGGCAGTTCCTACTACCCCAGAACATTATCTGGGTCTCTGGATTAGCAGTCCAGTGATAATACCACTAGGCCACTGCCTCCCCTTCTGATACCCTAGCTCTGAAACCTGGCCTGTCATCAACCTGGCATCCAACTTTTCTTTTCCACTTGGTATCCTACTCCCTTGCCCACCTACCTGCCACCATACTGTTATGTATATGGTTGAGTGTGTGTTGCCTCTTTGAGAGTGGGTCAGGTGACCCAGAGGCAGCCTAAGACCAAGTGTGGAGCTGAGAAGATGCACAATAAAGTATTCCATGTTCAAGATTACCCTCTGCCAGCCTCGTGTTCTATTTATGGTTTTAGTGAACCACAAGCACAGTACCTCACTAAACATCGACCTAATTGCCACCTTTAGCAATCAGCCTGCTATTCTTTCCCCAACCCACCACCCTATCTCCAACACACTTGCCACCCTATTCCCTCAAACCTCTAACAACCGAGCTCTGCACCCACCTGGAACCCAGCCTCACCCCCGACCTGGCACCCTACGGGCAGTTACTGCCCTTAAAAGGGGGGATTGCTTAACCTGCAGCATTGATCCTGCATTGCACTGTAAGACAGTCAGATTTGATGCACTGCTCGTTTTTCAACAGGCCTGATTTGGGATTCCGGGATAGAAACGTAGGGCACTGGGGCAGCATAAGACAATGAAGAATGGAGGGGCGGCCTGGTGCTCATTACCACTGCTTGGAAGATTTGGCCTTGTAGCTGTTTTTTGTTTTGGCTTACAGGTTCAATCAAACTTGACTTTCATGCAAAATGCTCAGGGTGATGAGTAGGATTCAGTCCACGCAATTTGTTTTACGACAAGTCTTCAAAAATCAGCTCTTAGAATTACTAGAAATTACCTATCCCTAACAAAAAAAATTGATCGACCCATGTTGGACCGAAGAGTCTGTTTCCGTGCTGTATATCTCTGACTCTATGACACTGGTTCATAAAATGTATCAACGAAAGGGAAATTTCATTTGCAAGTAGTATGCTGAAACGATTGTTATGGGGTAATTTCTAGTCTCGGTATGCAGACAGATAATCCTGTACAGATCTTTAGAGATTACGTTCGGCACACAAGTGAAAATAATCCTTTGACTTTGGGGAAAAATTAGCAGAACAGTTCACGTGGAATGGTAGAGCAGTTTGATAATCCTGAGTCATTGAATGGCTGGCACAATAATGTGGACCTTTGCCCTTGAGGATTTGTATGTAGACTGATGTGAAGCAAATGATTTCGAAGCCAGATATCAAATATGTCAAAAGCGTACTTCTGTGAATAAATCCATATCACCAACTACATATTTCCTGTATCATAATTCAGTCAATAATCTTGTTTCCTAAACAATATTTGATAACATCTCAAAGGGAGTTATACTTCTTGGTCACTTACTTTCCAAGTGTATATGCCTCACTAGGAATGATTTACAAGCTCATTGATCCTTCCACGTTAATATTCCATTTATACTGATGACCTTGTCTGATTGAAAGTCATGCTGAGTTACAGTAGTGAGCTATAACTAGTCCACCATGTGCCATATTTCTATAAAATATAGGAAAAGATCTCCACTGAAACCATTAGATTTTTTAAGGATTAATGTCTTGGATATTATTATGCAATTGCCATTGAAGTCGCAAGCAATTTGGAAACATATTTACATATTTTAAACTCAATAGCAAAATTTTAAAAAATCAATTATATTGTATTAAAATCAACAAATAGAAATGAAAAATGAGATTTTTGGTGAAAATTTGTTGACTTAAGGTAAACAGAAGGTATGTGTTTAATTGGGGTTCAAAATCAGTTAATTACTTTATTATTATTTTCTTATATAGCAATCACACATGCAAAGAAGGGATTTATAGAGTAATAGGTTCGTAAACAGACCCTTCGGTCCAACCAGTCGATGCCGAACGTAATCCTTCACTAGACTCACTTGCCTGTTCCTGGAGCATGTTGCCAGAATATTGCTGTCAAAAGCTCCTTAAAATGCGAATTGTAATCAGGGTGACAATTTTAGTGTCCAAGATCACATATAAAGCAGGTTTACGATTGTTAGGAAAATGCTTTTCATATATCAAGGTGCAAATGGAATGTTAGAGTAGATCACTAAAATGATAGTTAAAACTGAATTTGGAGAGTGGAAGGAGAGACAGTACTCTGTAGAGGAAGATCTTAAGGTAATAGGCAGATAACGTAGGAGCCTAGAGTTGGAAGTTCAAGGAACTTAGAATGGGCCTTGAATTTATTGTTATTGAGATGATGGGTAAGTTGGAAAGAAAGTAGGCAATTGCATTATGGATAAATTAGAGGTTACCTAGTATGAAACTCAGGAAGTCAGGAAGATGTTAGCGAGGTCAAGCTTGGATGGAATGAGTAAAAATCTAGATTTCAACAATGGCAAACATAATCTGATGTTTTCAAAGTTGAAGTAAGGAGTCTTTTTGTGGATAGGGTATGGGCTTTAGTTATTTCTGAGTAAGGGGGTGGATTCGGGCAAAAAAGCTGAGAGTTTTGATAGGGATTTGTCTAATATATGCCAAATTTCATCTTTTCATCACATTTAATAGCCTCTTGTGTCCATTTCACAAAATGGTTTCCTTGTACAGGTTAACAATTTTGCCAATGAGCCATTATGTCAGCTCCAGCTCTTTGAGCATTTTACCATGGTGCCATTCTCATGCCTTTTCCCCAAAACCAGCGCTTCTTTTTATTTAGTTAAATAATTATCTGCTCCCTCCTTAAGTGCCTCAATCGAACTTGCCTCCACTAAACTTCCAGGCAGGGCATTCCACACCTAGACCCCTGCAACCGTTCTGTGATGTCTCTTTCCCTATCACTAGGGAGACAACAAACCATGCTGGAGTCGGGTTGTCAGGCAAGAGGCAGCTGCCTATTTCCCTGAACAAAGAATATTCTATCAGTACTGACTTTACACTCTCCCTCTTCTCATCCTGTACAGAGGGTGTTCTCATTGCACCCCTACAAGGATCCTGCACCCCCACCGATATTCAGAATGGAAAACTGGTTACTGAGAATGATTTCTGAGAACTCCTACACAACCTGTTTTGTTCTCTCAGACTGCCTCATGGGCAGCCTGGCTTGCCCCTAAGTTGCATTATGACCATCTCTTCGAATATGCTATCTCAAAAGCCATTTGCTTTGTAGGTGTGCCTCTGACTAGTTGCTCGAGCTCTTAAACCTGAAGCTCAAAATGGTTCAGCCAGTGACAGTTCCTGCACATGGATCCATTTTAAGTCTCAGGAGGTGTCCACACATTTCCACATGCTACCGACCAGGCGCTATACTTGGCCAAGCTGCCCTACAATACTTCATACATTTAAGTTACTTACTGCAGCTTTAATACTTTAACTCACTTTAACCTTACACTTGTCCTACCGACTAAATACTGGAGACCAGTAGAAAGTCAAAATTCTTCACCCTTACTCACAAATCAGATACCTCACCTGTGCCTTTTTGTTTTCTTGCCATGGGTAAGTTTCAAAATTTACACT